ACCTGGTCTACGGAGTGAGTTCCAGGATAGCCAAGACTGTTTCACAGAGAAACCCTGTCTTGAAAAACAAACAAACAAACAACATGCTTGTCCTAATATTGTTATAATAGCACAAAACTGGGATCAGGAACTAATCCAATGGCAAAGCTAACAAACAACACCTTTGAGATAAAATCCTCATGCAACAGGGACCTCCTATAAAAAGCTGTCATCAGTCTTCCATTTCCCACCTCTACAGCTGTGGGCCTTCACCTCTCCCTGACCCTGGGATTTTGAGTGTCTCCCACCTGGGCAGGTAGGTTTCTAAGAGCACTGAGGTGGACTAGGTGACCTAGGGGCAAATGTGATACCAGGAGACAGGCTGTTTGCCTTGGAAAGCTTTACTGAACATGCTACACAAACTAGTATAGTGTACTGAATCCCCACTGGGCAGAAAAAGAGGAGGCAAGATGGACAGCCACGGGCATGCAGTAAAAGCAATTTTGGATTTCTTTTTCTCATCTCCAAATTGAAGGCTTAAACAGACTACCTGTTCTGAGAAGTGTCCCAAACAGTAAGAGCTGCAAACTGTCCCTGGAGAATTCTGGGTGAGGTGTGGAGGGGTGGGGGGAGCAGGCGAAAGTGGTGGATGGTGTCAATATTTGCATTGTGTGCCTAGGGACTGAAGGCTTGTGAACTTGGGCAAGCATCCCAACCATGGTTATTTTGACTGACATGTAAACACTGTGTGTGGAGCATGTAGACAATGTTTACCTATTACATATACAGAAACCACATCACTTGACCCAGTGAGCCTGTAAGTCACACCTCAGTTTCGAAAATGCAAAGGGAAGCTCAACAGAGACAGGGCAATTATACATCAGATACTGAGATACATTATATATCCTGAGTTTAGCTCATGCAGACCCCTTATGGGAAGAACTGACTCTTAGATCACGTGGCAAAGCTGAACATAAACTGCTGTGACGCAGTTTTGTAAGATTGTATCTAAGGTGGTCTAGTTTTAACTCCAAGAACAGGGTCACTGAATACTCTAGTTCCGTATCGCTTTTGTCTGTGGATTGATACTTTATGTCTTTCCTTGCCGGGGTAGTTCTGATTCTCAAACCACAAGCACAGAATGAAATATTTATTTGTTTGTTTTTTTCCTTTGTTTTTTTGAGACAGAGTTTCTCTGTGAGCCCTGGCTGTCCTGGAACTCACCAGGCTGACTGTGAACTCAGACATCTGCCTGCCTCTGCCTCCCAAGTGCTGGGATTAAAGGTGTGCGTCACTACAACCAACTGAAAATATTTACTTTAGTTATGTATATCCCTGTGTGCCTGCATGAGTTTATGTGCATCACATGTGTGCAGGTGCCCTGGGCGGGGGTGGGGGAGGCAGAAGAGGGAATCAAATCCTGTGGAAATGGAGTTAGAGGCAGTTGTGAGTCACCATATAAGTGCTGGGGACAGGACCAAGCTCCTCTGCAGGAGCAGTAAGCACCGCTAAGCAGCGGCCTTCTGGCCAGCCTATACTTTCCTTTTTATTTTAAAGTTTTCTTTTATGTATTTGAGCGCTTACCTACATGCATGTGTGTGTGTGCCATGTTTGCCTGATGCTCTTGGAAGCCACATGAAGCCATCAGATTCCTGGATCTGTGAGCTGCCAGATATGGGAACTGGAAACTGAATCCAGGCCCTCTTCAAGTTAAGAGCAGCAAGTGTTCTTAACCGCTGAGCCATCTCTCCAGTTCACATTTACTCTTTCTTAGCACGATTCCAACCTCTCATGCCTAAAGGGGGTTGGAATGTAATCAGCAGCCAAGTGCTTGCCCTAGCATGCTTAAGGCCCTGTGTCCAATCTGCAGGACCACCAGAAAACAAAAACAAACAAACAAATACCACTTGCCCATACTGTTGCTGGCACAGGAAGTGGCACTGAGACATTCGTTCACCTAACACACTCACCAGGGACTGGATTTCTATTTTTCTATTGTTTTTCCTACACATACTTTAAAGGTTCTGAGGTTATCAGTGTGCACAGATGGCCCAGGGCTGACTTCCAGAGCTAGAATTCCAGTAACACATACCTTTGTCGGTGTCCTGTGAGTGACCACCATCCTCAAGTGGCTATTTGAATTTCAATGAAGTAAAAAAGGAAATACAATTTCCAATTCAACTGTTCAGCAATCAGGCGATAGACAGTGCAGACCCTCATGCCCAGGGCCTGTTGCCAGGCTTGTCAGACAGTCACTAAGAACTCACTTCCGTATCTAGTAGTAAATGCAGAGCAGCTATTTATGACATGAATGAAAAGAACCAGTCCTAACTTATCCTACTAATGCCAGAGCTGTGAGTCAGAAATGCCACAAATTCTGAATCATACACTGGCTGCATCCATGTAATGGCTTCATTCCAGTCAAGTCTGTTGTATTCCTTTCTCCAAATTAATTATCTTAACTACTCTTTCTCCTAACTGGGTGTCCTAAGTTAAATAGATGAGTTATGTGATAGGCATATTTCAAGAAAGGGGGCTTCCCCCCCCACCCCGCCCATGTGTTCATATCAGACTCTTGGCTATTTCTCAGCAGACCAAAAAGAGAGAGAGAGCTGTAAATTTTTTTAAAGTTATTTGTTGTTGTTGTTCTTAAAAAAAAATAAGCAAATGTGTCGGTATACCCAGTTCCAAAAAAAAAGAATGTGGGAAAATTCTAACAGTGTTACATCCCCGTGGAATCCTGAGGCACAAACAGCAGCTGAAATGGATCCAGCTATTTATAGGATTACAATAAACACACCTTTGTACCCGCTCTACCATTTACTGCCCAGCTGATCTGAACACAGACAAAAAGAGCTGGCTGGGAGACTGCAGCGGCTCTCTTCATGCTGGTTCATCCACTACTGCACGAAGCCTCTAAATGAGCAGTCACCGCGGCTCTCAAGGAAAATGCCCCTTTCCCTGCCCCCTCTGCAAGCAGTTGCAAGCTCTCTCCAAAGCACCGAGTGAAGGTGGCTGGTTTAACCAACTAAACTGAAGAACACCCCTAGATCCCAGCGTGGTTTCCCGATGTTTGATTCTTAGGGCAGAAAGCTTAACAACCAAGAACTGTTTCTCCTTCGTAAATAAGTTCACCACTACGTGGTGAGAAGTCCCTTCAAAAAATGAGACTTTGGGTTTGCAGCTGTATCCAAGAAAGAGGCAAATCCAGAAAGTGGATTTTCACTGGAGTCTACTTTATTAAGTGAGAGAATGCCTCATTCGTCGTGTGTTTGACTTGCTTCAAAACTTACAAAGGAGGCTACTCGGTGGAATTTATGCCTGAGCGAGAAAGTAAAAAGGCGACCAGGGAGGACCCGGGCCACCCCAACTTCTACCACTGGAAATTGATCCAAAGAACTTTGCTGGCAGAGCCTAGCGAGCTGTGACAGAATCCGAGATCACACACCAGGTCTACACACCGTCCGCTCCGGCCCACGTCGACGTCACCAAAATCGTGAAATAAACTAAGAAAGCCAGTTAGTGGTGTCTCCGCGCGCACTAAAAGTCGAGAACTGGGTCCCACTTTCACGGTTCTTTACTAAGAATCTAGAGTTCAGTCTTGCAGTGACCTGATTTTTCCCCCCTCTATAGACTTGAGGAGAGCTGCGAGGCTCGCCTTTCGGTGCTCCCCCGCAACCCTGTATTTCTCTTGCACCCCTGACCCTGGAGCACTGGGGTGCACTTATAGAGGACTGGTGGGAAGCAGCGTCCCTCGCTGGAGGGGACAGGAAGAGCCGCGTGCTCCCCGTTTCTCCGCCCTTAGCCCAAACAATGGCTTTCCGCGGGGACACGCGATCCGGGGAGGTCGGACCCCAGGGTCCTCAGAGCACGCAGCCGCCCCACGTCGCGCAGAGAGCGCCCAACCCCACGGACCGCTCCTC